AATATATATATATATATATATATATATATATATATATATATATATATATCTTATATATATAATAGTATATTTACATTATATGTACATTTAAACTTTAGTGATCCTTGATATACATATATATAAATATTGCATACATTTAAAATATAAATTTTTAATTTCCTAAATGTGTATTTTTAATACACATATATTAAAAATTAGAATAAAAATACATAAATCAGTATTTTAATACATTTCAAAATCATAAAAATATTAATACAAGTGTGCTCATATATTTTAATACAGCTTCTAATACACGGATTATTGTGTATAAAAATTATATAAATATAAGTAATGAATACGTTTAATATATGTAAAATAGATATATATATTAATCTTTGATGTTACAATATTAGCTGCCTATTACACAAATTTGTTATGGCAATACTCGACAAAGTAAAAGCATATTTAATTGTTATAATTTATAATGATAAAATTGAATAAATTGACAAATATTTGACAATTACTTGAATTAAATTGTAAAGAAATTCTATATATACAAGAAAGACGAAAACATATACAACAAATATGCAGAATAGAAAATATATTTGTAAATTTTTTTAATGATAAAACATATTTATGTTGAAATCCCTTTGCTTGAAATTCATTTTCTTACTTATTTAATTCCATGTGCACGAACTTCCACAGTCTAGTTATAATAATGCACTTATAGAAAAGTGATAGCTGTAAAAAATATAAGTTTGCACTTGCGCAAAGTTGCGCATTTTTTTTCTATTTAATATGCAAATAATAAATAATGCCAAATAAATTTAATTTCAGAATTAACAATATAAATATTAAGTTATATATATTGTAAGTAATATATATTGCTGAATACTATATATGTAATTAATTTGATTGAGGAACTTGTAGGAACCTAATGTTAAGTCAATGTTGAAATCGTTTATGTTGAAAGAGTATAATGTAAACTATTTAAGTTTTACTTACTTACTTTAGATAGAATATTTTTTCCTTAAATTGATGTCAGTCATATTTAAAATTTTTTGCATTAAATAATTTATAATATGCATAAGTAAAATACTTTTACTCGAATTTCGTCAATAATCTTGCACAACAGACTGTTATGAATATAGATATATCTCCATTTACAACCCTGGCCTTCCACGTTAAAAACACGTTCTGCCTCGATTAAGTTATTTTGCTACTTTTATAAAAACTACTTTTATAAAAAAAAAAAAGAGAATTTCTTAATAACGTAAGCAAAACAAATGTTAATATCAATTAATGCTATGTGAATTAAAAATAATCAATTGTGAATTACGCAGAAATATTTGCGCACGGTTACATGAATTATGTTTTTTTGATAAATACGTTATATAAATATATAAATATATTCGAATCCTTTTTTCTGGATGATATAGAGATAAAAATTATTTTAATTAAAAAAATTCATATCACTTATATTATGCATTGAATGCAACTTTTCTAAAGAGATAATAATTATTAACAAAATAAGTAATAATTTATTTGATAAAACGTAACATAAAACTTGTAAAACTTATTTTTATTTCATGAATGGTGTATTTTTCATAGATCTTGTCAATTATTTTTTAATTAAATGCCAAATTTATATTTTTGAACAATATTATAAATTATGTAAAAAAGTATATTGAACAAGATTGACAGATTATAATTGTAAATTGCAAACTTAAATTTTCGTTGAGCAACTCCTCCTTTTAATATATTATATCGTAGTATTCTTCGCTTGATAAAACAATTAACAAATACATATTGAATTAACGTTAATATACTCAGTGACATGCAATTAAATAGTAATTTTTAAATGTAATTGAATAGTATAGTGTCACTTGTTGTACAAAAATACAAGATATCCTATTTAGTATTTTGCCGCTGTGTGATCGAGATCGAGGAACGCATGTATTGTGTGTAATAAAGTGTACAGTACAAATTATTCTTCAGCGCATTTTATTTAAAAAAAGGAATGCTCGCAACTTTCAAGCGAAAATCAATTAAATTATTCACAATTTTACCGAATTATAATTTTTTATTATAGTGTTAAAATATTCCAACTTGACATTACTAATATTCGTGAAAAAAATTTTTAATTTTTAGTAATAATAATATAATTGAGTAAGAATCCGTTTTAAATTGAACGCTTCTTTTATACAGAAAACGAAATTGTGTACTTTCAATAAATCGCAAATTTTGTACTTAAAGTTCAATTTTATTGTGTCAAAAAATCAGTCAGAATTATGTCTTCTACATTAGTCATTCAGTCATCAACTGCTTGACGCGATAATTTGCAGAAAAAAATATCTTCGGTTAACTTAAACGATTATTGTAAAAGTATGTCGGCTGTAAAATAAAATTACCTTGTTTATGTACTTAAAAAACTTATATTATTTTTACATTTAACCAGTTATAAACGAAGGTACTACGTTCCTTATAAATTTAAAAAATCACTTTTGATATTATTTCATAACTTTTTATTTTATAATAACGTGGGCTATGAAATAATACAAAATATTGTGTATTTTAAATATTTATTCCTTTTTTTTCATTCAAAGGACAATTTGTTTTTATTATAAGATAACATTATCCTAAGCATTTTCGAGGGTTCCACACCCTGCTGTACCTAAATTATTTTTTATATAACATTTTTTTTTTTTTATGTCTTCCATCGGTTCACTGATTATTATTAATCCATAGACAAGTTCTTTTTCTTAAATTGGCTCTCCGTAGTTCGATATCACTTATCG